TAAAATTAATTCTTCTTTTTCAAAAAGCCAAGTTGTTTTTGAACACCTTTGAAGAATTAGTTACTTATTTCTGTGGTGTTGGTGATCAGAGTCTTCCATATGCCAAGCAATTTCTCTACCAGCGAGCTATGCCCCCAGACATGGGCCTAGGGAGGAAGGATTTGTAACAAGCATAAAGATGGGTTCTATTGAATGAGAGACAATGCCCAGGATCTGGAGGATTCAGGTGAAGGCTGGCCCCATGGGATAGCGGAAGATCACCAGGTCAGTAGACAACATCCACTCCAGCCTTCCAGGTGGTCAGGCGTTGTTTCCTTCCTGGTTTCTCTAGGGCTTTCTGTAAGTGTGCCCTTTACACTGACTAAGCGCTGGGATCTATTCCCAGTGCACTACAAACTGTGTGACCACATGTGGAGGTCAGAGGATGACTTCTAGAGTCAGTCCCCTCTAATATGCTGGGCTGTATTGGAAATTTAATGTGCCATGTTTCAGTGGTATCGTGGCCTCGTCTGGCCACACAGATACTTCTTGTGATCTTGGAAAAACCAACTTTGCCTAAGTCTATTTCCTCATCTCCTAAAACAAACAAAAAAAACCCCATCGATTAACACCAGAAAAAGGGAGAGGTAGAGGCTGGAGGGCTGGAGTGGGGACAGGAAGAAGAGTGCAGGCAGGGGTGGTAGCTGTCTCTCTTACAAGACTCTTAGGGAAGCCATGTAATGCTAGAACGTGAATTCGAAAATTCTTGCAGGTTATTAAGTGTGTGAAAAAGGTGTGGTAAACATCTGAGCAAGATTTTCAACATTTTTATCCTGAAAACAAGATCCTAGTCTTCATTATTTTTCAGACTTCTGAACTGTGGGGGCCTCTGAGACCACCAAGGCCAGCAGAGTGTTGGTCTGTGAGAGGGCAGAAGACAGTTCAGTTCAACAAGACTGAGTAGCTGGTATTGGTTTAAACTTCGAGAGTCTGACAATGCTTCCTGGTGATAATCCGGTGTGAACAATAAAGCTTAAGACATGACTACATCAAAACTCTTTGTAAAGTACAAGTGACATCTGAAAGACCTGAAGTAATCAGGCTGAATACCCCATGACATCCTGAGCTCAATAACCAGACAGTTGGATGCAAACTGCAAGAGGTTTATTGTTCACACAGGCGTCTTCTGGCGTTCCAGCAGCCTTAGCTAGCTGAGTGCGCCGGGCTTTAGGACAGTTTTCTTTTTATATACATAATCTTGGCCAGCAAAGCAATAGGGGTATTGTAAGAAGTGTAAGAAGTGGAGCCGCGTGCCGGGCGTTGGTGGTGCACGCACGCCTTTAATCCCAGCACTCGGGAGGCAGAGGCAGGTGGATCTCTGTGAGTTCGAGGCTGGGCTGGACTGACAGCCTCCAAAACAATACAGAGAGACCCTGTCTCGTAAAACCAAAAAAAAAAAAAAAAAGTGGAGCCGCTGCAGGTGCAGATCTGGGCAAGCAATAGGGGTATTGTAAAAAGCGCAGGCATAACTTAGCCTTCCTGGAGAAACCACAAGGTCAAAATTAAGCTTATCTTAACAGCCTGCTGGTTCCCTGTGTCAGCAGTCTGGACCAGATGTTCTTTTCAATCTGACCTTGTTCCCTGCTTAGGGGACCTTGGGGAATTTTCCACTGAGGCAACCTTCTGAGTCTCAAATGAACTCAAGATAAACAAGCTCCTAGTAAGTATCTGGGGGAGGATGGCACTACAGAGACAACTTCGAGATAAGGGTCTGGGGGACTGGTGTGGCCTGACCACACAGATAGTGTAAAGGTCACCTGTGGATAACAGGTATACACATCTCTCCCTTTGAAAAGACAGCTCTGTGTGTTTAACATTTCTATTTTCCCTATAACTTATCTGTGAGCACAAGGACCTACAGGCCTCCTACACTGAATAACTTTGGGTAGGCCTTTTCCTTCCTGTGGTGTACATTCTTTTTGATGAAAATATATCAAAGTCTATGAAACAGTACACAGTAAAGGATGGAGTTTCCACTACCATACAGTCTCCAACTACTCTGCATGCTAATGGTTTTTCCATGGTTAAAACTGCTCTGTTGGAGTCTGGAGAGAGAGAGATGGTTGACTGGTTAAGAGCATTTGCTGCTCTCACAGGGGACTGGGGTTCACCTCCTGACACCCACATGACTCACAGCCATCTCTAACCCTGGTTCCAAGGGGTCCAACGCCCTCTTCTGACTTCCAAGAGCACCAGTCATACACATGGTGCACATGCACACATGCAGACACTTATACACACAAAATAAGTAAATAAATAAAAACTTCAAAGTCTGTCTGTAGATGGCAGTTAGCCCTCGTCCATGAGCACTGTATCCCGAGGAAAAGCTCAGTGGCAGAGACTGCTGATCCACAGAGAAATAAACCCGACAAAGACATGACTGTGACGTCTGAAGCCAGTCCTGCTTCCTGCAGAATAAAACCACAACTTACTGAAACATGGCAAATGCCATTCCACCAACTGTGAGAGCCACGGAGCCTCCATACAGAACATCCCACCCACACACTCTCCGGGCTCCATTAGCCTTCTGGGACAGCTTTTTTTCCCCTTTAGAATGGTGTTGTCTTCCCTAACGTTTGTTTGTGTATTTGCCCATGTGGGCACACGTGCTAAGATGTCTATGCGGAGGGCGGGGAACACTTTTTGCAGAATCGGTTCACTTCTCCCACTTTGTGGGTTCCAGGAATAGTTATCAGTTCACCATGCTTGGTAGAGCCTGCTTTACCCACTGGGTCATTTTGACAGCCTGGGCACTGTGTTTTCCCAACAGCTGTGTGAGCAGTGCTGGTGGTACAGGACCAGCAGTGTGGCAAACGCCGGCAAACCTGAATGCCAGTACCGAAAATCACTCCAAAGACAGAACTTAATCTTGTTTCTAAATGAGAATAAATTGTTTGCAAAGCTATCCACTGGCCCCAGCTGTATTAGTAGAAATATCCAAGGAAGATGGTGGCATATGCCTGTACCTCTAGTGTAGGTGTAGGTGTAGCTGTAGGCATTTTGGGCGGATTGGGTGGGTCAGGTATTCTGACACTCGGGAGCCAATGATACTGAGTTACACAGCTCAGGTGGAAAGATATCCTGGAGCTCGGGAGCCAAGGACCACCACAGGTTGCAGTAAACTTAGCTGCTTACAGCCCGGCCTCAGGGAAAGGCTTCTCCAGTGTATCGGCTCTGCTCCAGCAGGACAGGGTCTTCCAGCTGGGGATGTTCGCCTAGTGTAGCAGTTTTGCTCCAGGCAGGAGGTTTCCCGGATGAAGTTGCTACAGTTCAGCTCTGCTCCGGGGAGAGTGGAGAGCTGTGTGTAACAACTCTGCTCTGTCGAGGGAAGGTTTCTGAAGGTTTCCCAGGCAAAAGTGCTACAGCCCTGCTCACTCTGCTCTGCCCAGGGTCATCTCTGCTCAGCTGCAAAAGAAGGTCTTCATCCAAAGCTCATTGAAAGGGGTTTATAGAGAGGGAAGGATCCAGGAGAGTGGCTGCCCCCTGCCAGAGTGGCAGAGTACAGCTGGGTAGCACCAACAGCCACGAGCTAAAAAGACTCAGGGTTTATATAGGGATTCTTGGGGACGGGGAAGTTTTTCCAGCGTGGGGATTGGTCAGATTTCAATGCTGAGCTCAGATTGGCTAGAGCTCTGCTCAGGGATTGGTTAGTTTTCTGCACAGGATTAGGGTCAGATTTGGCTCCCGTTTTAGGCCAAAGTGTGTTTCTCTAGTCCTTTTTAGCCTTTTGGCTCCAATTTTAGGGCCAGGATGCATTTCTTTCGCTGATTCAGATTCCAGGGACAAAGTGTGTTTCTGTGGCTCTGCTCAGGTGTGTTTCTGTGGCTGGCCCCTTTTCCCTACAGTAGGGAGGGGTAAAAGCAGGGCGGATGGCCGCTCAAGACCACCTTCAGTAACTAGGGAGGAGAGGATAAAGGAATTGGGGTGGGTGAGATGGCTAAGCAGGTAAAAGTGCCTGGGACCCCCACAGCAGCAGGAGAGAACTGGCTTCATGCAGCCTTTAACTACCAACGGCGAGTGCTGTGGTGTGAGAATGCCCACATACTGGCCTCGGCGTCAACGGCACAGGGCGCGCGGGCGCGCGCATGCGCGAGCACGCACAGGGCTAAAAATTAAAAACAACTGGTTTCCCCAAATGGTCGGCCGGACAGTGGGACTGCCCTACACGGACGACCGGATAACAAACTCGAAAGCCAGAAACCCAGCCGAAACCGCAGTGGACGGCGTCTGCAGACACTGCGGTCTCCAGGGGCGCGGCCAACAGCGCTCCCGGCAGGCCTTGCGCAGCGTTTGGCGGGAACAGTGTTCCCGCGCGAAGGTCAAAGGGCGCTCCTCGTGCCGGCGACCGTTGCCGCGCATGCGCGCTGTGCACGTGCCGCAGCGAGTGCCGCACTCGGCGCCCGCCTCCCGTCGCTGTGGCCCGCGTCTCTCAGGCGTTGCGTAATATATGTTTCCTTTGGGCTAGGGTCTCTTTGTCGCTGCCCAGTCTCCTTTCTGCGGCCCTCGCGCCCTCGGGTTCCCCAGGCTTCGGCTGACAGGTTCTGTGTTTCCTGAGGGCGGCGCTGCCGCAGCGCTAACGGTCCCTAGACGACGACTCGAAGTGGCGGGCGGATTGTAGCGGTCTCCGGAGCGAGTTACAGGCTAGCCAGGGCTGCGCAGGGAGACCCTGTCTTAAAGTAACAGTAAAACTTTGGAATAAAGGACGCTTGGTGGCGCCGGGGAGTGCAGGCCGGAGGGTCAAGCCCGGTGCGGTGACGCACTCATTTGGTCCCCACACGCAGAGGGAGGCACACCGAGGCAAGGGCGGGTGGGGCTCGTGTGTTCAAGGCCAGCCCCGGCTTGGAACTAGCCAGAGCTTCGTGGGGAGACCCTGGTTCAAAAAAAAAAAAAAAAAAAAGGCGCAGTATCATTCTTGCTTGCAGTCCAGCCTGGGCTACATGAAAGCCCTTCTCAAAGAATTTTAAAAATCTATTTATGAAAAAAGATCTATTTCTGTTGCCTTAAAAAAAAGTTTACCTTGCATTTTATGGGGGGGGGTGGCATACATCGTACTGTGGCACGTGTGGAAGTGAAAGACCTTTGGGAATCTGTTTTCTCCTTCCACCAAACTCAGATCACCAGGACAGAGAGGCAAGCTCCTTTACCGACTGAGGCGTCCTTGCTGTTTTATGGTTCCAGAGCAGACAGAGCCTTGATAAAGGAGTCATCTGATTTGAATAATTTTTATATAAATTTTTTTAATTACAAGAGACACCCTCAAAAAACAAACAAACAAAAACCCAGGGTCTCAGCCTTGCCTGGTCTGCAACTTGCTAACTAGTCGAGGATAAACTTGAACTCCCAGTCTTCCTGCCTCAGCCTCAGAAAGTGTCAGAATTACAGCGTGTACTACATCCTGGGACTATACTTTGCCATTTTTAAAGATTCTATTTTAAGTAAAATTCTGAAACTTATTAAGATAAAAATTCAAGTAATAAAGTAGAGTTTTAGAGTTAAACATTAAATCTGAAATTAAAATTCGCATTTGTGTTACATGGTTGAAGAAAACATTTTCTTGGAAGATGGCTACTATGCAGATGCGGAGGACAGCTTCCATGGTATGATTTCTTGTTATTTACTTATTATTTAATATGTAATTTAACTGAGTTTCTTTCCTCCTTCCTTTCTTTATTCCTTCCCTTTTTATTTTATTTTATTTATTTATTTATTTTTGAGACAGGGTTTCTTTGTGTAACCTGAGCTGTCCTGGAAATAGCTCTGTAGACCAGGCTGGCCTCCTAACTGCTGGGATTAAAGGTGTGTGTGCCACCACTGCCCGCCTTAGCCATAATTGTTTTACTGTTTAAAAGTATCAAGTATTTGAGGCTTTAATAATACCAGGACCCCCTGTACTTTAAGGAAGGAAGTAATACAGAATTCTCTTGGACACATTTGGAATGTTACCATAAGCTGTTCACTCAGTGGCATCTGCTTTTTTCCTTGGAGCTCTCATCAGCCAAACGTGACAGTTGTAAAGTACAAGTAAGCAAGTAAGGTTGAGTCCTGCTTGCTTCCACTCAGCCATTTGTGTAGGAACCTGGTGCCTGTGCTTTGTTTCAGCAGATTTTTTTCTTAATAATGGTGTTAATGAAGAGTGTGAATATTTAGAATTGTGCCACTGAGAGGAAATTCTAAGAGAGTGCATTTCTCTGTTATTGTTTATTACTACTATTGATATTATTATTTAAAGATTTGTTTATTATGTATATAGTGTTCTGCCTGCATGTATGTCTGCATGTCAAAACACCAGATCTCATTACAGATGACTGTGAGCCACCATGTGGTTGCTGGGAATTGAACTTAGAACCTCTGGAAGTGCAGCTCTGAGCCATCTCTCCAGCCCCCACTATTATCATTTTAGACATCATCTCACTATATAGTCCTGGTTGGCCTGGAATTCTGTATGTAGACTAGATTCTGCTCACAGAGATCCACCTACCTCTGCCTCCCAAGGGCTGGGATTAAAGGCGTGCGCCACCAACACCCAGCTTGTCTCTGTCTTTTGAGAACTGGGCTCTATTTATAATGTGCTGGTTGTTTGTCTGCATATATGTCTTGTACTATGTGGGTGCAGTTGTGTCTGTCAGAGCCACCATACGGATGCAGGGAATCAAACCTGAGTCCTCAGGAAGAGCAGCCAGTGCTATTGACTGCAGAGCCATCTCTCCAGCTCCTAAAGCCCATTTCTTTACAAAAGTGTTGTCACACCTTCCTTTGAACCCTTTGCTTGAAGAGTTAGGTCAAGTCTCAAACAATGGGTTATCACTTGTGTCCTGAGCACTCTAGCTGCGGGCCAGCACGGCATTATACCTCTGTGCGTGTAAAATGTTGCACCTGCTATTATATAACCATGGTTTGTTAGAGCTACTGTTAACAGGATGTTTTCATTGCAGATGATGATTGAGAAGCAAATTTTAAAAATGTGGTGCAGGGTACCATAGTTAGAGAACTGTTACTTTCTGAAAATTTGTTTTCACTTTTTTAATAGTGAAATAAATAGTGCTACAATTTTCTTTGGATAACTACAGAACCTGAAGTTCTTGCTGCTTTTTATGCATAACATACCACTATTATTTATCTTTTAATATAAATATATAGATATTATATATATATTAGACTTCTTGAAAATTTTATCTGTGCTGTCAACCTCAGAGAAAAGCATCCCAGATTGCTTTGTTTTTACTGTACAGAAAAATTAACAAGCTGGATTGCTCTAGAATCACTGATTTTTTTCATTTGTACAAGAGTAACATTATTAAATATATAAGGTCTTATTTATATTGGTTTTATTATAGAAACTAGTAAAATATTTGCTACATTTAAAATGTCCATTCAGCTAAGCATGGTGGTATATGCCTTTGATCCCAGCATTTTGGAGACGGAGACAAGTGGATCTCTCATAGAAGGCCAGCCAAGGTGACATAGTGAGATCCTGACTCAAAAAAGCAAACCAAACTACCATGGTCATTCACATTTAGTTTACATTAGCTATTAATGAATGTTATTCCACTGCTTTTTAAATTTTTTTGTATTCTACCGCTTTTCTGAAATTCTTTATAGCAGTCCATACTAGAAAATGTCTATGATTCAAAGACAAAGAAGTTATAGTACTTACATAGAATCTTGCATTATATTTAATCTGTGTTCATCCAAATCAGTGATTAAAGAATTAATATTCTCTGATGTTTGCATTTTCAGTTAATCTCGAAGATTCTTTTGTTTTTTTCAAGACAAGATTTTTCTATTTAACAATCCTGGCTGTTCTAGAATGCTTAAAGAATCAATCTCAAGGATTCTCAAGACTGTTAAACAAATTTTGCTTCATTTTTGGGCTGTTACCCAGAACACATTTTAAAGGCACAGTGACTTTCTGGGGATGATGAAATTGGAAAATTGTTTGAGAAAGTGCTGTACTTATCCAAAACTAGACTCTGCCTTTAAGTTCAGGGAAGCTATGTTCTCAACAAATGCCAATTAAGATAATTTAATTTCCCTTGAATTTTAGAGTGCATTGGTATTTCCCAATAAGATATCAACTGAGCAACAGTCTTTGATGTTTGTGAAGAGGCTCCTGGCAGTTTCAGTATCCTGCATCACCTATTTGAGAGGGATATTTCCAGAACGTGCTTATGGGACAAGATATCTGGATGGTAACTTATATTTAAGATCTTCTTTGTTGTTTTTTTTTACTTAGAGAATGTGGGGTTTTTTTGTTTCTTTTTTGTTTTTTTTGGGGGGGTTGTTTGTTTGTTTGGGTTTGGTTTGGTTTGGTTTTTCGAGACAGGGTTTCTCTGTATTGTTTTGGAGGCTGTCCTGGAATTCTCTCTGTAGACCAGGCTGGAGAATGTGTTTTGCTTTGTTTTGTTTTTTTTGGTAGTAGTTTTATTGATGTAAAGTGTATAATTCAATTATTAAGTGCTCACAGCAACATGTAATTGTGATCATAATTTTAGAATATTTCACCACTCTCCAAAAGAAATACATCTATAATCATTCTCCTCTCCAATCTTCCTAGTTATAGACAACTACTTTCTGTCTCAGTGAATGTACCTATTCTGGATATTTTTCATAAAGGGAATCATGTAGTATGTTTTTTCTAACTGACTTATTTAATTCACCATAATGCTGTAACATGGACTGATAATTGATTTCCTTTTCACTGCTGAATAATATCCCATTGTGTGTGGCCATACAAGTCAACTTAGGTTGTTTCCTTTTTCGTGCTCTTAGTGTATGAAGCCACATTCATATGCAAGTTGGGATTTTGCTTTGTTTGCTAGACATCAAACCCAGGGCCTTAGACATGCTTAGAAAAGTGCTCTTTTACTGTGCTATGTTTCTAGCCTTCAAAAGATTTTAGGGATATTAAATACTTTAGAAACCACTTAATTGTAATTTCCCCCTCAATTTTGCAAGTATATCTTCACCTGACATCAGACCTCTAATAATTTAAACAGATCTAAAACCCTGTTATACCAGGCAATGGGGTGCATGCCTTTGATCCCAGCACTTGAGAGGCAGAAGCAGAATGTAACCACATTGTAATTCCTGTATTGCCTGAAAAACTTTATTGGGGTATATACGCTGTAGAAAAAAGTATACAGTAGAAAGAACATGAAAAGAACAGAAAATGAGGAAGCCATCAAGAGAGCATGTGAGTGCCTTTTCCCTAAACCCTCTCAGTTAGAAAAGTCTTAGCTTACAACACTGTGGATTCCTTTCAAGGCCCTGTGCTACTAGAGGCTGGCCCCTCAGACAGCAGTAATTACCCCTGTTTATGAGATGAAGAATCTAAGAGTGATGTTCTCAGTCTTTTCCCATTGTTACATGTTGTGTCTCTGTGGAGTCTTTATCTTTGAGAGTCAAATTTGGCCCAGTTATACATTTTTCAGTAGAATAAGAGTTCATAGGAAACATTCTAAGACTGTTGGAAAATTACTGTATGAAAATATATCTAAATTTTATTTACTTTATGTGATTGTTTTGTCTGCATGTATGTACACATGCCATGTGTATACGTTGTACTCTTGGAGACCAAAAAGGGTATCAGATCCCCTGGAACTACAATTACCATGAGCTACCACGTGGGTGCTGGGCATCTAACTAGGTCCTCTGGAAGAGCAGGCAGTATTCTTAATACTGAGCTATTTGTTCTGCCTCTCCCTGCACCATTTTTTTTCCAGAGTATTACTTAGGTAGTCCAGGTTGGCCTGGTGGTATAGCTGATACTGGCCTTGAACTCTGGGTTTCTGCTTCCTCTACCTTCTTCCGAGTACTGGGACTGTAGGCATGCACCACTACCCCCAGTTTACTTGGTGCTCAGAATTTAACCTAGGACTTTGCAAGTCACTTACAAAGTACAACTAAGTCACAGAAATAGGAAAAGTTTTATTCATCAATTTAAATTCTTTTTTTTTTTTTTGGTTTTTTGAGACAGGGTTTCTCTGTAATGTTTTGGAGGCTGTTGGTCCAGCCTGGCCTCGAACTCACAGAGATCCGCCTGCCTCTGCCTCCCGAGTGCTGGGGTTAAAGGCGTGCGCCACCACCGCCTGGCAAAATTCTTAATCATTATTATGGCATTTTACAATGAGTATCAATTATTTCAAAGCCACTAATAATATTCATATAATGAGCCAGGTGGGTGGCACACACTTGTGTAATTCCAATACTGGATAGGTTAAGGCAGGGGAACTGTTGAGTTCAACCAGCCTCGGCTATAATAGTGAGACCCTGCCTCAAAAAATGTAATTTATAGCTAAAGAAAGTAAAACTAATTTAAAATTTACTGTTGAGGCTGATGAAATGGCTTAGCTGTTAAAAGGCACTTACCATCAGATATGATGATCTAATTTAGATCCCTGTAACCCACATGGTACAACAAAAGAACAAGCTTCCCCCAAAAGTCTCTGGTTGCCACACATATGTGTTTTGATCCATACACATTCACATGTAACACAATAAATATAATTAATTAAATAAATCGGCTATTTATAAGTATTTCTATATTTATTTCATTTTTCATTTAGATCTTTGTGTCAAAATTCTGAAAGAAGATAAAAACTGTCCAGGTTCTTCACAGTTAGTGAAGTGGTAAGTTAAAGAATACTTAAAGGCAAATAATCACTACATTTTTGATACTACTTTTTTTGTTTGTTTGTTTTTTCGAGATAGGTCTGTGGCTTTAGAGGCTGTCCTGAAACTAGCTCTTGTAGACCAGGCTGGTCTCAAACTCACAGAGCTCCGCCTGCTTCTGCCTCCCGAGTGCTGGGATTAAAGCCTTGTGCCACCAACGCCGACAGGTACTACTTTTCTAATCATACTTTTTGTACATTGAATACTTTTCAATGTATACCCAGATTTTAGTGACTAACCCTTTAGTCCAAGTACCATGTTTTTAGGTCTTTGGATTTACATTTTTTTATTATATGCTTCATATAAACAGGGTTTTTCTTGTGTAGCCCTGGCTGTCCTGAAACTCACTCTTTAAACCAGGCTGGTCTCGAACTCAGAGAATCACCTGCCTCAGCCTCCCAAGTGCTGGGATGAAAGGCATGCACTACCACTGCCTGGCTGGTTTTTCTTTTTCCAAGATTAAAAAAAACTTTAAAGTGTATGTGCCTGGATGCATGTATGTGTACCTTGTGAGTTCAGAAGCCAAAGAAGAGCAAAGGAGAGTATAAGACCCTGCAACTGTAGTTGTGAACTGCCTTGTGGGTGCTGGGATCAAAGTAATAAGCACTGTTAACCACTAGGTCATCTCTCTGAACCCCGTTTCATTGTTTCATTTTGTTCAGTTTTAAGCTAGTTAATAAGAAAGATGCTTTAATTATTAATTTTATTTTGTAAGGGTAAATATAGAGATTTATGAAAAGAACTATTTTCTGAAAATGCGTTAAATATAAAAGCGAATCTTTGGCTTTCTTTTAGGATGCTAGGATGCTATGATGCTTTACAGAAGAAATATGTAAGTCTTTTGCCATCTCTTCTTCCCTTCCCTATAGCTACAACAGGAGTTACATTATAGTAAGACAGTAATTTAAACTAACTTGATATGTATCTGTCTCAATTACTACAAAAATTGAGCACTTGCATAATTTAAAGATTTATTTTTATTTATTTATATGGATATACATGTGTGTGCTCATGTCTGCTGATGCCCATGGAGGCCAGAAAAGGATGTTATGTCTCATGGAGCTAGATATATAGGTAGCTATGAGCTACCCATTTATGGCTGCTGGGAACCATACTCTGGTCCTCAAGAACAGCAAACACTCTTAACTGCTCTTACTGCTGAACCATCTTTCCAGTCCTACATTTAAATTTTTTATTATTTTTGAGACAAGATCTCACTACACAGTTGCAGACTTGCCTGGAACTTGCTTTGAGGACCACACTGGCCTTGAACTCACAAGAGACCAATCTACCTTTGCCTCCCCACCCCACTGCCAGTATTAAAGACATGGGTCACCATGCCTGACTGAATTTGAATATTAAGATCCAGTCTTGAGTTCATTTAAGCTAATGCAATTAATACTAAAAAAAATTGCCAAGCTGTGTTTTAACAAATTAGCACTCACTTATTAGCATTAATAGCACATATTAACTTACAAAATTGAATTTAAATGTTTTAAAATATTGTGCTAGTTTACATATATTCCACAACCATGCTTATACTAGTATTTTAATAATTTGTTCTTTTTTGAGACAGAAAAAACAAAAAAAGAAATATTTATGCCCACTATTAATCCTAGCACTCTGCAGGCTGAAGTAGTAGATGTCTGTGAATTCAAGTACTGTGAAGAATATACTGTGAGACCCTTTCTCATTTGATAATAATTATTATTACTTGTTGCTAGCCATGATGGTATGTGCCTACAAACCTGGAACTTGGGAGGTAGAAAGAAGAGGATCAGGAATTCAAAGGTGTTTTCTACCATGTAGTTAATGGCAATGTGGGACACAGCAGTATTTATTTCTTTACTAACTGTTAACCATTGCTAGCTTATCAATGGTCCTATGTGCCAGAATGTATATAGTGTTCCATATTTACTGTCTTAGTGGAAAAGTAAGAGACTAGGGATAAAAATTCTGCTAGAACTAGATTTCTCTGTATATATTTCTTAAAATGATAACTATTTTAAAAAGGCTTGTAGTCTATTGTAAAATCTTAATTAAAATTTCACTATTGTAGGACCGTAGTGATATACACCTTTAATACCAGCACCAGGGAGGCAGAGGTAGGCAGATCTCTAAGTATGAGGCCAGCCTGGTGTACAGAGTGAGTACTAGGACAGCCAGAGCTATACAGAAAAACATGTCTTGAAAATGAACGAGGGGGGGGGGCTGGAGAGATGGCTCAGAGGTTAAGAGCACTGACTGCTCTTCCAGGGGTCCTGAGTTCAATTCCCAGCAACCACATGGTGGCTCACAACCATCTACAATTCAATCTGGTGCCCTCTTCCGGCTTGTAGGCAGAACACTGTATGTGTAATAAATAAATAAATCTTTAAAAAAAAAAAAAAGAAAATGAACGAGGGGGGAGGAGGGGAAGGACAGAAGGAAGGAAGGACAGGAAGGAAGGAAGGAAGGAAGGAAGGAAGGAAGGAAGGAAGGAAGGAAGGAAGGAAGGGAAAGAAATGTTGAGTAATGGGTATGCTGGTACAGGCCTTTAATTCTAGCACTCAGGAGGCAAAAGTCAGTGGATCCCTAAAAATTCAAGGCCAGCCTGGGCTATATAGCAAGTTCCAAGACAACCAGGACTATTAGTGAGACTCTGTCTCAAAAAGTAACACAATCCCCTCCACACACACACACACAAAAAGAAATGTTGAGATAGAACAAAAAGTCTTCCTTGGGGATGGGGAAACACTAAAGGTTGAATTCAGGGTCTTGCATGTGCTAAGTGGGTGCTCTACTCCTGAGCTATGCTCCAAGCCCCTGAATGAAAACAAAGAATTTTTTATGATCCATCATGAAAATGCATTTTATAGAATGCAATTAAGATTTTGTTCTCTGTTGTATTTCAGCTAAGGATGATCATTCTAGCTGTAAGTACTTTTAAATTGTATCTTTTAACACTGTTAAATGTTTCCCTTTATTAAACGCCACTGAAACTGTCAGATGATTTATGTCACTTTATTCGACTAGCTGATGTATCTAGTGGGGGGGGAGTTAACTTTTTAAAAGATTTATTTATTTTTATGTGCATTGGGGTTTTGCCAGCATGTATGTCTGTCTGAGGGTCTTGGATCCCTTGGAACTGGAATTGCAGACAGTTGTGAGCTACCATGTGGGTGCTAGAAATTGAACCCTCAAGAGCAGCCAAGACTTCTAACCACTGAACATCTCTTTATCTCCAGAGAAAAAGAAGTAAACTTCTTATTGGGAGAGTCATTCTGGTTTTCTGTTTTGCTTCATTGACCAACTCAATAATTTAATGTCCAATTATGTTCTTTCTGAGTACTACCCTCACTTAATTGTAATTGGTTTTTACATAGGTATACACCAATCCAGAAGATCCTCGGGTAAGTGTGCTTGAGTTAGAATTGTTAGATATGTAATATGTAATGCTTCTAATATCTAAGCTCTTTTAAAGTTAATGCTTCTGGGTTTTTCTTTGTTGGTTTTTCTTTTCTTTCTTTCTTTCTTTTTTTTTTTTTTTTTTTTTTTTTTTTTTTGAGACAGTTTCTTTGTTTAGCTCTGACTGTCCTGGAACTCACTCTGTAGACCAGGCTGGTTTCTCACTCAGAGATCCATCTGCCTTTGCCTCTTGAATGCTGGGATTAAAGGTGTGTACCACCACTACCCAGCATGCTTTTGTATTTTAATCAATATACTTCTATATTTTTTTATGTTTGAAACTTGTAAAACTTTTGAGGTTTATGTTATATTTTATTTAATTTTATTTTTTTGGTTTTACGAGACAGGGTTTCTCTGTATTGTTTTGGAGGCTGTCGGTCCAGCCCAGCCTCGAACTAACAGAGATCCACCTGCCTCTGCCTCCCGAGTGCTGGGGTTAAAGGTGTGCACCACCACTGCCCGGCTGTTGTTATATTTTAAAAGATACATATACTTCACTACAAGAGATTTTGTAACTGACTTTAGCCCATGAGTTTTAATAACTATTAGAAATAACATATGCTGCTTGATTTCTAACTCCATACAGTATTCTTTTACTGTTGAGACAAGGTCTCCCTGTGTGACTTCGGATGGCCTTGAACCTGCTGAGTAGCTGAAGATGACCTTGAACTTCTGATCCTCACGCCTCCTAAGTGCTGGGATTTACAAACTTGTGCTATCAAGCCAGATTTTTTTGTATCATAGGCAAGCCCTCTTCCAATGAACTACAGCCTCAGCACTTTCCCCATCTTTATGAAAGACAGAGACTTCTTTCATGGCATAGACTGGTCTGAAACCCACTATAAAGCCCACACTACCTATGAACTCACAGTGATACCACTGCCTCCATCTCCTGAGGTTACAGGCATGGGTTACCACACTCAGTTTTGGGGGGGTGTATTATTTTTATTTTACTGTTTTACTAGGAATGAACCTTGAGCCTTGAACATGCTAGACAAGTTCTCTACCACAAACCACACCCCCAGCCTTCAGAAGATCTTGTGTGCATATTCTATAATAAATTAGGCTTTATTTTTCTGGGCTTTATGGGCATTATCCCTCCTTTATTCGCCATAACCTAATTAGAATTATCATCACCACTTTACAGATTAGGAATGTGTGCTTTGTGTATCTGTGGGGCATATACATACAGGTGGTTTATACATGTTGGACGTCCTGCTTTATAATTCTCCTTATTTGTTTGAGATAGATTCTTTCTCTGAACCAGGAGCTAGGCTGTTGGCCAGCAAGCCCCAGTGAACCTCCTGTCCTTCTTCCTCACAGACTTGAAGTTACTGGTTTATGCAACCATACTCAGCAGTTTTTAAATGGGTTCTGGGCATTTGAAATCTATTGCTCATGCTAGTGTACCAAGCTCCTTCACCAACTGAGTGATTTCTCAGGATTCAAGGTTTCTTACCTAAAGTTGTGTGGCAGACAAAACAAAATCAAAATTTGAACTAGGAAAACCAGCTCACCTTGTGGTTTAAACTATTAATTAAAATGTAACATTTCACTTAGTCCTGGAAGCATATTGAAACTGATCAGGCTGAGAATGCGGCTCAACTGGTAAAAAGCTTGTTGAACTTACACAAAGCCCTAGGTGAAAACAACACTAGTCATGGTAGCATATCCCAGAACTTGGGAATTACAGTCAGGAGGATCTGAAGTTCAAGGTTATCCACTGCATAGAGATTGAGGCCAGCCTGAGATATACAAAACTATTATAAATAAATGAAATTATTTTTAAAGAGAAATTATCTCTATTCCAGGTGTGTACTGACAGGAAAAAAAAAAGCAAAATATTTCCACCCTTAGCTGAGGCACTATTGGTAGTTAATGGTTGCTGGAGGAAGAAAAGTCATTTTCTTCAGTGGAATAATCACTGGTAAATTGCCCATGACTTGTTAACATAGTATCCATGTGCATACAAGTGACCCTAGTTACCTAGTGAAACACGGTGGATTTTTAAAAATTATTTTATTTTTTACTTTATGTTCATTTGGTGTTTTTGCCTGCATGTGTGTCTATGTAACAGTGTTGGAACTCCTGGAGCTGCAATTATAGTGGTGAACTACCATGTGAGTGCTGGGAATTTGAACCTGGGTCCTCTGGAAGAGTAGCCAGTGCTCTGAAATGCTGAGCCATCTCTTCAGCCCCACAGTGGATTTTTTTAAACTAAATATTCCAAACTTAAGGAGGGCTGACTGAGTCTTTTCTTTGAAACTCATGCCAACAAGTAATGTTTAATATATGTCCATAATTACAGAGCAGACTGAGGGAAAGACTATGGTTAGTTTTTCAGAAGATATTCATTACTGAATTGTTGTTTTTTTCTCTTGAAACTGGGTCTTTTTATATAATCTTGCTGTCCTAGAACTTACCATGTAGACGAGGCTGGCCTTGAATTCATAGAGATCCACCTGCCTCTGCCTTCCAAGTACTGTGCACACCATGCCCAGTTTTTTCTTTTTGTTTTTTGGGTTTTTTTTGTTTATTTGGTTGGTTTTTGGTTTTTGAGACATGGCTTCTCTGTATTGTTTTAGAGGCTGTCCTGGAACTAGCTCTGTAGATCAGGCTGGTCTCAAACTCACAGATTATAAAAAGCATGCACCACCACTGCCTGGCCCCATGCCCAGTTTTATTATATTTTTATAGATATGCATTTTTCCATTAGCAGGTAAACAGCCTTACTGTGCCCTAGTGGTACTTATTAAATATTGTGTGCTATCAACTTGTTAAGGGCTCTATTAAATTAGCCATTTGATAATAAAGTGGAATTATTAATAAGACTCCTTTCTTAGCTAGGAAAGTAGAACACTTAAATGGTTTGCATGCGGTTATAGCATAGCAAGGGTTAAAAACCTGGATGTGGTGGCACAGGCCTCATACCTTTGACACCAGCACTCAGGAGGCAGAAGTAGATAGATATCTGTGAGTTCAAAGCTAGCCTAGTCATAACCACTTCCAGGCCAGTCAGAGCTACATACAAAGACCCTGCCTTTTTTTGTTTTGTTTGTTTTGTTTTGTTTCGAGACAGGGTTTCTCTGTATTGTTTGAAGGCTGTCCTGGAACTTGCTCTGTAGACTAGGCTAGCCTCGAACTCACAGAGATCCACCTGCCTCTGCCTCCCGAGTGCTGGGATTAAAGGCGTACACCATCAACGCCCTGCAATCCTGTCTTTTAAAAAAGTTTTTTTTCAATCTGTTTTTATTGGATGTGGTGGTGCATGGCTGTTATTATAGTGCTTAGGAGGTGGAACCAAGAGGAACTAGAGTTCAAAGTCAGTCCTTGGAGGCATAGTGTGTTCAAGGCAAACCTGGACTCATGGCAAAATAATAATGATGACAATTATAATAAGCTGGGTGCTGGTGGCTCACACCTTTAGTCCCAGCACTGGGGAGTCAGAAACATACAGATCTCTGTGAGTTCAAGACCAGCTTGGTTCACAGAGCTAGTTCCAGGATAGCCAAGGCTACACAAAGAAATCCTGTCTCAAACATAAATAATAAATAAAATAATAATAGCAAAATAAATCCTATGCTTAGTATCTGTCTTAGTTCCTATTTTGTTATAGAGATTTGGTAATTTATGAAGAATAAAGGCTTAATCCATTTATGATTCTGGAGGCTAGGATCTAAGGTTATGAATTTATTCTAGTTGTAGAGGCTGGGCTCTTTCTCTCCTTACACACACACACACACACACACACACATAGTGGGAATGGAAGAGAGAGACATCTTTTTGTAAGGAACACACTTGCACAATATTTGACTACTTCTGTGATAACTGAATTAAGCTATTTAATTAACTCATGAGGGAAGGGTCTCCTTAACCCAGTGGTTGAGACACCTTTGGGGGTTGAAGGACCCTTTCATAAGGGTTGTCTAAGACCATCAGAAAACAGGTATTTAATTTTATGGTTGGGGGATCACCACAACATGAGGAACTATATTAAAGGATTAAAGGGTCCAGCATTAGGAAGGCTGAAAACCACTGCCTTAACCTAATTATTTCTTTAAGATCTCCTTCTTTCATCTATATAGCCAATTATAATATAGCTGTGTCAACCCAAAGCAGCTACTTTTTTTTTTTTTTTTTTTTTTTTTGGTTTACGAGACAGGGTTTCTCTGTATTGTTTTGGAGGCTGTCGGTCTAGCCCAGCCTCGAACTCACAGAGATCCGCCTGCCTCTGCCTCCCGAGTGCTGGGGTTAAAGGCGTGCGCCACCAATGCCTGGCCCAAAGCAGCAACTTTTGTATTTGATTGCCCTGTCTAGTGGGCTCATTTAGGTTAATAGCAAAATGCTATAGAAGTGATGGGTGTCTACCCAATGCAGTCTTTTTGCTTTTGTTTAGCACTAGTTGATCAAATTGGCTTTAACTGATTTTTCTGATACAACAAACATCCTAGGTACTGTACAAAATCAGTGTCAAGAATTACAGGCCCGGCGTTGGTGGCATACGCCTATAATCCCAGCACTTGGGAGGGCAGAGGCAGGTAGATCTCTGTGAGTTTGAGACCAGCCTGGTCTACAGAGTGACAGAACAGGTTCCAAAAGCTACAGAGAAACCCTGTCTCAAAAGAACCAAAACCAAAAACCAAAAAAAAGAAAAAAGATAGGCAGTAGTGGTGGTGTTCTTTTGGGCTGGAGAGATGGCTCAAAGGTTAAAACACTGGTTGCACTTCCCAGAAGTCCTGAGTTTAATTCCCAGCCACCACATGGTGGCTCACAACCATTTATAATGAGATCTGGTGCCCTCTTCTGGCATGCAGACATGCAGGCAGAATACTGTATCTAATAAAAAAAAGAAAGAAAAGATAACTACTGCCTGAATGTTTGAAGTCATATAAAAGCAATGGCAGTCAGAACTGTGCATCAGCTACTTAACTGCAATGTTTTCTATTTAAGACAATTTCAGAATGTTACCAGTTTAAGTTCAAGTACACCAAAAATGGACCAATCATGGACTTTATAAGGTATTCTATAGTTTTATTTTTATATTATCAATTGCTACTTATTAATGCTAGACTCCAAGGTTATTTCTGAAACTTCTCAATATCTCAGTTAGCAATTTGGATTTACAAAATGGAGTAGTGAAATGTGAGGTCAATGTCTGTCACCCGTTGTTGATACCCAGCATTTATTTGACTGTTTTGGCTGCCTAGAGCGGTGCTCCCTTCCTTCATCACCTGTCCAAGTGATTCCTTCCCAATACCTCACACTCAGTGAAAGAGGACAACCTTCCCTGATCCATAGTGGAGGATTATTCTTCATTCATTATGAGCAGCTGTGATTTTTCTGTTAGAACCCAGACAAGTTCTCAAAATGGAGCAAAACTTAGAATGCCACCAGACAATATTATGTGCTAAGTATCTAATATTTTAATTACAAAAAAGGTATTTGAAGGCATGCGTTGGTGGCGCACGCCTTTAATCCCAGCACTCAGGAGGCAGAGGCAGGTGGATCTCTGAGTTCGAGGCTAGCATGATCTACTGAGCAAGTTCCAGGACAGACTCCAAAACAATACAGAAAAACCCTGTCTCAAAAAACCAAAAAAAGGATTTGAATGGTTAGGAATATGCCATTCATTTCCTTTAAAAACTTACATATAAAATGTGTATTTGTTTTACTTGTGTAAAATTTATATTTAACTTATAATAATATCAATAGTGATACTAAATTTTTATAATAGTGTCATTGTTTTGTGGTAACTTTCAGCCTAGTAATAATGTTTTAAAAGAATAATCTCAAATTGTTAAAATGTGGAATAATATTAAAAATCACAAGTCTTAATGAAAGAAATTATTTCTGATTCTTTTCTAGCAAAAATCAAAACAATAGATCTAGTGCAACATCTGCTGACACCAAGAAAGCAAGTATTCTCCTTATTCGGAAGATTTATGTCCTAATGCAAAATCTAGGACCTTTACCCAATGATGTTTGTTTGACCATGAAACTTTTTTACTATGATGAAGGTAATACTTGCAGTATGTCTTGTTTTAATATTTTTATATTTCAAAAATTGGTTTCCACTTACAATATTTTTGCACCAAAATTGTTAGTCTTTGAAATTAGAAAATTTGCATTTAATATGAATATTTGAAACAGAAGCACTGAGGGCTTGGAAGATGATTGAGAGGTTAAGAGCACTTGCTGCTCTTGCAGAGGTCTTGATTTTGTTTCCAGAATCAATTGTATTAGGCTACAGAATTGCCTGTAACTCCATGTCCAGGCCAATCCAGTGCCCTCCTCTGGTGTTCCTAGGCACCTGTGGATAAAGATAGGCAGACAGACAGGCAATCCTACACACAAAATGAATAAAAATCGGTTAACTATTGAAAAACAAAAATGTTGCTGGGTAGCGGTAGCACAATGCCTTTAATTCCAGCACCTGGGAAGCAGAGGCAGATGGATCTCTGTAAGAGGCCAACCTGGTCTACAGAGCAAGTTCAAGGACAGCCAGAGCTGTTACAGAGAGAAACCATGTCTTGAGAAAAAAAGAAGAAGAAAAAGAAAAAAGAAAACTAAAACAAAAAAAAGTTTGCAAAAGTAGGATTTAAAATGCATTTCTTGGGGCTGGAGAAATGACTCAGAGGTTAAGAGCATTGACTGCTCTTCCAGAAGGCCTGAGTTTAATTCCCAGCAACCACATGGTGGCTTATAGCCATCTACAGTGGAATCTGATGCCCTCTTCTGGCCTATAGTCGATAGAGCACTGATATACATAAAATAAATAAATCTTTTTTTAAAAATGCATTTCTCGGCCGGGTGGTGGCACACACCTTTAATCCCAGCACTCGGGAGGCAGAGGCAGGTGGATCTCTGTGAGTTCGAGACCAAGCTGGTCTACAGAGTGAGTTTAAGGACAGCTAAGGCTGTTACACAGAGGAAACCCTGTCTCGAAAAATTTTTTAAAAGTTTTGGTTTTGTGATGCTGGGGCTTGAACTTAAGGCTTTGTGCATGCTAGACAAGCATTCTGCCATGAAATCATATCTCTCCAAATTTTAGTATTTTAACTTATAAATTATATACCTAGAAAACTATTTTTAGAATAGCTTGCACAAATATTCAAGATTATATATTTATAAGACTTTTCATTATAGCAATGGTTAAAATAGGAACAAAGTAAAAACAAATAGAGTGTCTTCCTTGGAGACTTAAGTAAGTAAATTATGTTGCATCCATGTTAAAAAAAAATGCTTATGAACTGTTAAAATCACAGAGGGGCTGCAGCAGTGCTCTTGTTACTGACTAGCCATTTGTACTTGCAGAGTACTGAAAAAAGAAGAGCTAGGCATAATCTCCCTGAATTTTTAAAGGATGTTTAAGGATATATTTCATAAAACATATGCAAACACATGAAAGATTACTATCATATGTTCTATGTAACCATAAAACATTGTCATTTTATTACATACATGATATTTTTTAGAACATAAGGCAACAACAATAACACCTTTTAACAATTACTCTCCATGTGCCTGTTCAGTTCTGAACATTTTACACTTTACTATTTTATATCACAGCGACCTCTTGTGGATATATACTGTTATTTCCCCCTTTTGACAAAGAAACCAAACCAAGAATGATAATTTGCTCACAGTCATGCAGGCAGGCAACAAAACGAATGTTACCCTTAAGTAATGAGGACTTTGTTATAGGAGGTGCATCTCTACATTTCAGCTTAGGTTTTTCTATCTGAATTTTAACTTAATCTTGCTGTGTTTTTCGAGACAGGGTTTCTCTGTGGCTTTGGAGGCTGTCCTGGAACTAGCTCTTGTAGACCAAGCTGGTCTTGAACTCACAGAGATCTGCCTGCCTCTGCTCCCGAGTGCTGGGACTGAAGGCATGCACCACCAACGCCTAGTTTAGTCTTGCTGTGTTTTTATATGACTAGTTCAGCTTTTTCACTTTTATAAACGGTATGGTTTTATACTTCCTTTTTTGCAGTTACACCTCCAGATTACCAACCTCCAGGTTTTAAGGATGGTGATTGTGAAGGAGTAATATTTGATGGCAACCCTACATACTTAAATGTGGGAGAAGTCCCAACACCTTTTCATACCTTCAGATTAAAAGTGACCACTGAGAAAGACAGAATGGAAAATATCGATTCAACCATATTAACACCAAAACAATCAAAAATACCATTTCGAAAAATTCCGATGGACAAAGATGAAGGAGAAGATGAAAATCATGTAAGGGTGAACATACTTAAAGAGCTACAAAATACAGTGGTAGCAAACATTGACTTTGATAGAGCTTAACGTTTCTATAAATACTGTAGTGAAATCATAAGGTTGGAAGAACTTCCTTTTGAGACAGGATCAAATTCTGATTGCTAGGCCTGTTCCTTGAGCACCTTATCTGCTGTGCCATCTCACAGGCTCTTGTTTTTAAAAGACAGGGTTCTGACTAGCTGCTAAATTGCTGTGTAGCAGATGCTGTCCTTGAACTCCTTATCCTTCTGCATCCACCTCCTAAATGTTGAGATGCAGTTGTGAACCATTATACCAGCTAGGACTTTTGTAACATTCTTTAAAATATTTGAGTCTCAGGATGAGAGAAATGGTTCAGTGGGTAAAGTTCTTGCTGCACAAGCATAAAGATATGTGTGATCAGTTTCCCAGAACGCATGTAAAAGCTGCATATGATTGTACAAATCTGTAACCCTTGCACTGGGAGGGTTGGGGCTAAAACCAGGATTCCAGGAACTTGCTGGCCAAAACACTCAGCTCCAGGTTCAGTCAGTGATAAATTCTGTCTCAAAAATACATAAATAAGCATAAGCTTGGCATGGTGGGACACACCTTTAAATCCCAGCACTCAGGAGGCAGAAGTATACATATCTCTGTGAGTTCAAAGCCAGCCTGGTCTACAATATAAACAAAGTTCCAGGACAGCCAGGGCTGTTGGAGATCTCTGTCTCAAAAAAAAAAAAAAAAGGTGGTTGCCTTGTGGTAGTAATACTAGCATCATTTGTATTTCTAGCAAGACTAAGATAGCTGTATTTGTCCTTTACATAAAACAAATATGTTCATTAATATTCCTACCTAATTGTTTTCATTTATTCCTAAAATGTGTTCAATTTTTCTTCATATTTATATAGAATAATTTTGACATTAAAACTAAAATGGTTGAACAGCAAGGAAACTTGGAATCTTCTGAAATGAAAGGTAAGAAGCTAACAAAAATGTTTATTAACTACCCATTCAATTTTGTACCATTTTAATTGTCTTTTTTTTTAAACAGAACCAAATTTAGATTGTAAGGAAGAAGAAATTACACAGTTCAAAAAAAACCCAAGTCCTTCAGTTTCTCATTGTCAGGTATAAACTTGGTAGTTCCATCTGCTTTCAATTTCATTTTGTCTTGTTATACTTTGAGACCAGTTTTTTAGTATATCACTTGTGAATTTATTTAATAATAAACCTTAAGATGTTTGTAGAGGGCTGGTGAGATAGGTCAGAAGATAAAGGGACTTGCTACCAAACCTGATGACCTCAGTTTGACTCCCAGGACTCAATTTCTTCACGATGTCTTCTGATCTTTAACATATGCACTGTTGTGTACATGCCCCAATAAACTAAGTAAAAAATTAAATTTTCACAGACCCTAAGAACTTCAAAACGAGATAAAATCTTACACTTTGTTTGTTTGTTTGAAGGATTGAGAGAGGGTCCTATTGTTATAATAAAACGTGAGGGGAAACTTGCATGGGGGACCGTGGCAAATTTCATGTCCGGGTAGGTTGACCAAGGCAGAAGTACACACATGCCAGGCAGAAAGAGCTTAGTGAGAAGTTTTATTAGAAAGGGAAAGGGGAAGGAAAGAGAAAAATGGAAAAGAGACACGGAGACAGAGAGAGGTCAGAAGACAAGAGGGAGACACTGAAAAGTCCTGTCTGCCCCAGGGGAACAGTGTTTTGAAAAGAGGAGTAGGAGAGAGAGAGCGCGTAAGTGGGCGGGGTCTTTCTTTAAGGGGTCCTTTGCACCTGATCTGACCAGGGTACTGCCTGAGTGCATTCTGCCAAGAGACAGGGGCAAGCTAGCATAATGCCTAAATCCTTATACCTATTATGTAACCTTAGCTAGCCTGGAACTCATTAAATTAGGCTGGTCTCAAATTTATGACAATCCTCTTTTTGTCTCTTAAGTGTTATGACTAGCAGTGTGAGCCGTGCTATGTAGAGGCGGTGCACGCCTTTAACTCCAGCACTCGAGAGGCAGAGGCAGGCTGTTCTCTGTGAGATCCAGGACAGCCAGGGATACACAGAGAAGCCCTGTCTCAAAAAAAAGTATGTGAAGTTTTGTGAAATCTTTTCTAGGTTGAACAGTTAGTCAGTAAAACATCTGAACTTGATGTGTCTGAAAGCAAAACAAGAAGTGGAAAAATCTTTCAGAGTAAAATGGTAAATACCCTTTGTAATTCCCCCTTCATGTGTGAATTTATTTTTCCGTATTGTTTGGTTGGTTGGTTTTGTTTTGAAACAGGGTCTTTCTCTCTGTCACCTGCCCCTGCCTCCTGGGTGCTGTCACCTGCCTATTATCTAGACTCTTAAGGGAAGTATTCTAGAATACCAGAAAGTTCCCATGTTCTAATTTGTAAAATGATTATTAACAAAATTGATTACATTACAAATTGATCTTTTGTAGGTATCTTGCATAAAATATTAATAAGCAAAAAAATCAGTTTTAGTTTCCATAACTAATTTTACTAAATAGAAGTTCATATCTGATTTGGTTTTTCAAGACAAGGTCTCAGGTCACCCAAATTGGTGTTGAACTTACTGTGTAGCTGAAGATGGCTTTAATTCTTGATCCTCCTGTTGCCTTCAGTGTTGTACAGTGACTAAAATTACATGTTCCATACCTAGCTCATATTTTATTTTAATCATTTATGTTACTCTCAAAGATTCAGGAGTGGAGAAAAAGCATTCTATAAAATATATGCAAAGTTAGGGAACAAAGAACTTAACTTTGTCAGTGCTATGCTAGAACACAGCTTCCTAACATCTTGTTCAGTGATATCATAATGGCAGTTTGAAATTGAACATTAGGAATATTCACAGCATGGAAGTCAACAAATGCCTCAGGATTTCTCCCATAGAGCTGATTGCAAAACATCTCAAAGAGTCTCAGTGATTATACTACCTTGTTTATATGTCTTTTTTCTTCCTCACATTATCAGTAGGAAGTTAAAACTAGGTGAAGGCAATATTCAAGCTAGTATGCTGATGAAAGCACGAAAGAAAGGAATGTAAACTGGAAGCCAGGCAGTGGTGGCACACACCTTTAATCCCAGAGGCAGGCAGATCTCTGTGAGTTAGAGGCCAGCCTGGTCTACAGAGCAAGTTACAGGACAGCCAGGGATACACAGAGAAACCCTGTCTCCAAAAACCAAAAACCAAAAAAAGAAAAAGAAATAATGTAAGCTGGATGTGGTGGTGCACACCTATTATCCCAGCACTTGAGAAGGGTATGCAAAAGATAGCTGTTCATTTGAGGGCTACATGGTGCATTGCAGGGCAGCATGAGCTACAGGGTAAAACTCTACCAGAGGGTGGAGCCTTACAGAAATTAGAAATGTCAAGAATTATTCATTCCAGCAGCAAAACATTCTTTCTACCTAGTTTAAATTTAGGATGAATATCTTTCACTAGAATACAAGAAGAGAGGCAGAAGCTGGGCAGTGGTGGCGGGAGGCATAGGCAGGTAGATATATGTATGTTTGAGACCAGCCTGGTCTACAGAGTGAGTTCCAGGAAAGCCTCCAAAGTTACACAGGGAAACCCTGTCTCAAGAAGAGGAGGAGGAGGAGGGAGGTAGGGAGATGGACAGACAGGAAGGAAAGAAAGAAAGAAAGGAAAGAGAAAAAAGGATTTTAGCAGTGTTGGGAATCCAGAGCTTTACACATGCAAGATACTGAACTATACCTCCAGCTGAAAGGGCAATTTCAAGTATAAAAAAGATGTATCATGTATGGTACCAGATACCTATAATCTCAGCACTCAGGAGGCAGAAACAAGAAGGTTGTCAGTTTTCAGCCAGCCTGGGCTACATGGCACATTTGTGTCTACATAGTAAGACACTGTCCAAAATTTTTTTGAAAAAAAATTTGTTAAATAATATAAAACAAGAGAAAAGTAATATTGACAACCATTTTCCACTTTCTAATATTTATTTTAATAAATTATGTACATGACATTACACTATTGTCAAGAAGTAGGAAAAAAACTAAACGTCCACCAACAGACATTTAGATAAAGTGTTGCAGCCACACAATAGAATTATTCAGACATAAAAGGAATAAAACATCAATATACATGCAACAACCAACTGAAAGAAGACAACCACAGAGGCACATACCATGATTTTATTCATATGAAAGTCATAAATTACAGAGAAACCCTGTCTCAAAAAAATCAAATCAGGCCGGGCGGTGGTGGTGCACGCCTTTAACCCCAGCACTCGGGAGGCAGAGGCAGGCAGATCTCTGTGAGTTCGAGGCCAGGCTGGACCGACAGCCTCCAAAACAATACAGAGAAACCCTGTCTCGAAAAACCAAAAAAAAAAAAAATCAGTATTTGAGGTCAAACATGATGGTGCATGCCTTTAGTCCCAGTACTAGGAAGGCAGAGGCAGGCAGGTCTCTGTAAATTTCAAGATAACCAGGACAGAGAGGGGATTGGGGAGAGAGGGAGGGAAATGGAGAGAGAGAGAGACCTATTCTCAAAAAACAAAGTTAGAATTTGCAAAGCTATTGAAACAAAGTACTAGGAATGGCAGGATGTTAAGGAATAGAGAGACTGATAGCAGAAGGTGGGCCTTCTATAAGGCTTCCAGAGTGATAAAGTGTTCTAATACTGACTATATTGGTAAATTCTACAACTCTGAATACTCTTAAAATTATTGAACTGTATGCTTAAAATATGAAAATCATACAGCATCTGTATTGTGTGTCAGTGCATATGCTTGAAAAAATCAACTGTTGCCTGTTCTTTGAGAAATAATGAAATAGTAATTTTTCTGTGTTTGGGAGGTAAATGGAAGTCAACAAGGACAAACTTCTAAAGAAAGTCGAAAGAGAAGTCTTCGTCAGCCAGTGAAAACAGTAAGTCTAATAATAGTGTATGGATTGAATAAAATGGCAAATATCTGAATAGCATGACTGTAGATTAAATAACAAATTTGATATTCCTGAACATACTTCAAAGCTCTGATACTCAAAACTTGTTAAAAACTCTGAGGCTTCGCCGGGCGTTGGTGGCGCAAGCCTTTAATCCCAGCACTTGGGAGGCAGAGACAGGTGGATCTCTGTGAGTTCGAGGCCAGCCTGGTCTACAAAGTGAGTTCCAGGACAGCCTCCAAAGCCACAGAGAAACCCTGTCTGGAAAAACCAAAAAAAAAATTTGAGGCTTCTGGATGTGATAGGTCCTTCCTGTAATCCTAGTTCTTGGGAAACTAAAGCAGAAGGATTACCAACAGTTCAAGTTCAACCTGGCCTACACAGTAAATTCTAATCCAGTTTGAGCTGTGAGTCACTGTGTCAAAAAAAATAAGCAAAAGAGTTTTCTAGATGTAAGTAGTTCCTTCCCATTCCATGAGCAAATCAGTTACTAGAAAAAATTATAAAATAAAAATCTGTATCTGAAAAACTGTAAGTAAAATGATACAATGACCCAAGAATATTCAGGACATTTGTGCTATACAATTAAACAGAACTTTCTGTAGATCAAAACTAAGGGAAATAACAAAGTTGTCATTATCCATGTTTCTTAAAAACATAATATCTCTGATAAATATATATGTATATAATCTCAGGAAAAGGAAAATACTTACCTAAACTCTGTAGTTGTTCTATTCTTAGAAACTTACTTTACTGAATCTGATAATACTTTTTGTCATTTTAAAAAATACTTTATGTTTTAACTAGGGTGTAGTGTGAGTCCATGAGAGTGTGTTAAAGGGTCTCCAGAATTTATTTAGATATAGAATAGGGACAGTCACTCACTGATATAGAGCCAATTAGACACCACTGCTGATCAGCTGCCTTGTCTAGTTGTTCTGCCCAGGGGTGAAGAGCACAAGTAGCAAGCTGCTTGCACTGCTCCCACAACCCAAGAAAGTGCAGAGCAAGAGAGAGCTCTCAAACAGCTTTTAAACTGTCACATAGGCTGCCTTAAATGGATTGGCTAAATGGACCAAAATCTCATAACACTAGGGTTTGAATATTATTAGTTAAGATTAGACAACTGAAGGACTAGGGTGTTAGTGGTACAGTGCTTGCTTAGTACTCATGAGACTTTGAATTTGATTTCTAAGAAGAAAAAGAATTTAAACAACTGAAATCTTTAAAATGTTTGAAATGGCCAGGTAGTGATGGCACACGCCTTTAATCCCAGCACTCGGGAGGCAGAAGCAGGTGGACATCTGAGTTCCAGGCCAGCCTGGTCCACAGAGTGAGTTCCAGGACAGGCTCCAAAGCTACACAGAGAAACCATGTCTTGAAAAACAAACAAACAAAAAAACCCCAACTGTTTGAAATGTTTAAAGAGAATCTAAACTATATAGACACTTAATTATTAATCTTTTGATTTAGAAACAGGTCTATGTAGCCCAGGTTGTTCTTGAACTCCTAGGAGGCCTAGTATGACATTAAATTTCTAGTCCTCCTTCCTCTGTCTCCTGAGTGATGGGACTACAGGTATGCACTACCACATCCAGTTTATGCAATAACGATAGAACCCAGAGCTTCCTGCATGTTGAGCAAGTACTGTACTGACTGAACTATTCCCTAACTGGTATTTAAGAACAAAACAAAAAATGTTTTATTACATTTATTTATGAATTCATACATTCTGCATATGTGTGTGCATATATATATATGTGTGTGTGTGTAGTCACTTGCCACAATACCCATGTGGAGGTCAGAGGACAACTAACTTGTAAAATTTGGTTTCCTTCTTCTATCATGTGGGTTACAGGGATCAGACTTAGGTCATCATGCTTACTGGCAAGTGTCTTTACCTACTGAGTCATTTCACCAACCCTCCAGTTAGTTTTCTTTCATTTTTATTTTTTTTAATAATTTTATGTACGTGGGTGTTTCACCTGGATATATGGCTATACACCATGTTAAGAGAAGCTTTTTCCTTGAGAGAATGCCTTCCCGCCCGCCTGGTTCTAGATCGGCATCAGTCCCAAATAAACACACAAGAGGCTATATTAATTATGAAACTGTTGGCCTTGCTTGTTTCTTACTGGCTAGCTCTGACTTAAGTAATTACCCCATAATTGTTAATCTAAGTATGTTTCTTACCGGAGAATAGTTCTGGGCTTCCTACCCCCATGGCGTTACATGTTGACTCTCCTGTGTTTCTCCTTCCCAGAGTTCTCCTGGACTCCTAGTCCCTCCTATCTTGGTTCCCTATAGGCTCAACAGTACTTTATTGACAAATGCACAAGACTTCCCCCAACAACACCACAAACATGAAGTACTGGTGGAGGCCTGAAGAGGGTATCAGATCTCCTGGAACTGGAGTAATAGACAGTTGTGAGCCACCATGTGCATGTTAGAAATCAAGCCAGGGTTCTCTAGAAGTGCATCCAGTGCTCTTAACCACTGAACCATTTATCCATATCCCCTGTGTCTTAGGGCCCTATTGCTGCAATGAAACACCATGGCCAAAAAGCAAGTTGGGGAGGAAAGGGTTTATTTGGCTTACATTCCCACAGCATTGTTCACCATAAAAGGAAGTCAGGACAGGAACTCAAACAGGGAAAGAAACTCGATACAGAAGCTGATGTAGAGGCCATGGAGGAGTGCTGCTTACTAGTTTGCTGCCCATGATTTGTACAGCCTGCTTTCTTTTTTGAGGGGTGAGGGGTTTCTCTGTAGCTTTGGAGGCTGTCCTGGAACTGTTCTGTAGACCAGGCTGGCCTCGAACTCACAGAGATTCACCTGCCTCTGCCTCCCAAGTGCTGGGATTAAAGGAATGGCACCACCCACAGTGTGCTGCCTCCCTCATTGATCACTAATTGAGAAAATGCTTTACAGCTGGATCTCATGGAAGCAACAACTGAGGCTCATTCCTCTCTGTTGACTCTAGTTTGTGTCAAGCTAACACACAAACCAGCCATATCCTCCAGTCAGTATTTGTAATATACATCATTTCAGAAGGGAATGAAGCAGGATGAAATGACATATTCCTGAATTTCTCAGCAGATGAGAAGATAAATCAGAAGGATGACTGAGTTTGGGGCTAGTTTAGATTTCATAATGAGTTCTATGTCCTGGGATACCCAGTGAAAAAGAAATAATGGAATAACACTTTACATTCCACTAAGATATCAGGTTTCTTTCATTTCTGCATTTCTTAAGAAAATTTATATGGCAAAGTGGTGGTACACACCTTTAAGGAAGACACTCTGTCTCCAAAAACCAAAACAAAAAATATTTATATATATGGATGTTTGCCTCCATGTATATATATTTACTGCATGCATGCCTAGTGTTTCTGGAAGTCATAAGATGGTGTTGAATTCCCTGGAACAGAAGTTATGGATACTTATGAGCCATGTGGGTGCTGGGAACTGAAGTGCTCTAAACCACTGAACATCTCCCTAGCCTCCCAAAGATTAATTTTTTTTGTAAAACGTATGTATGTATGTATGTATGTATGTATGTATGTATGTTTGGCCAGGTTTAGTGGTCCATACCTTTGAACCCAGAACTTAGGAAGCAGAAGAACTCTTGAGTTCAAGGCCAGGCCTGTTTACACAGTGAGTCTCAGGCCAGCCTGGTCTATATAACAAGCTACATGCCAATCAGGGCTATATAGTATACCCTGTTTTAAAAAAATGTCTGAACATGGTGGCACATGCCTTTAATTTCATCACTCAGGAGGCAGAGGCAGATGAATCTCTGTGAGTTCAAGGTCAGCCTGGTTCATGTAGTGAATTCCAGGACAGTCATAACTATGTAGAGAGAACATGCTTCATAACAAAAAGGGTGTTTATGTGTTTGTGTATCTGCATGGATAAATGCAGCTATGTTGCAGGTGCCAAAGAAACCAGATGTCCTGGATCTGGAGTTACAGGTGGTTGTGAGCCACGTATGGGTGCTGGGAATGGAACTTAGGTCCTGGAGGTGCAGGTCTTCCTCTTAACCACTGAGCCATATCTGCAGCCTTAATTTTTCTCAATGTTTTAAACCTTAATACTTTATACTTTCTTAGAAACCACAATCCAATTTGTCATTATACTTTAACTTTTCCAGAAAATGAAAGTTCAATAAAGAAATTTCATTAGAAGTTCTCTAATTCATTCTTCCATTTATTCAAACTTAGGTTCTGAAGCTGAGGGTATTGTACTTAGCTTTCATTTGTGAAGGCTTAGGTTTTCATCTTCAGCACTGCAAAAGAAAAAAAGACAAGAAAATGGGTGCACTGAATTTAATGTTTATCAAGACATGATGCAGGTGTTAAGTGAGATCGTGTAGGTGAGACTAGTCTTGGACTTATAATCTTCCTGCCTCTGCCCACCAATTGCTGCAATTATAGGCTTGAGCTACCCTATCTGCCTTAAAATATGATTTAAATCTTACATGATCTCAAAATAAAATGTTTTCCTATTGTGATTAAAATCTTTATTCCCTTTTCCTTTCTCCATTTTTTTTACTATTTCAATGATACAATGGTATAATTATTTTTCTTTCTAACTCTACTTACAACAACTCAAGTGAATATCTTGCCTTTTGTGAGTATATACTTTTAGCAGTTACTCATAGGTAAGTTATATGCCAATAATGTATTCTACTTTTAAAATGTCCTGGGTATTCTATTTTAGTAGAAAATATCTATGTTGAGCTATCGATGTAGTTCAGTTTGTAGAGTGCCTGCATGCATGGAGCACTGTGTTAGACATTCAGCAACACATTAAACTATATGTAGACGCATATCCCTATGATCCCAGCACTGAGTATATGATGAGAGACAAGAAGTTCAAACCAGTTCTGCTATACAGTGTATAGGAAGCAATCCTGGGCCACATGAGACTATCTCAAAAACAAGAAACGAACGAGGTAATGATGGCACCTGTAATCCCAGCACTTGAGAAGCAGAGACACACAGATATCTGAGTTTGAGGACAGCCTGGTCTTCAGAGAAAGTTCCAGGACAGTAGGGCTACACAGAGAAACCGTATCTCAAAAAAGGGGTGGGGCTACAGAGATGGCTCAGAAGTTGAGAGTACTGGATGCTCTTCCAGAGATCCCAGGTTCAATTCCTAGCACCCAAATCGGTGCAGTCCACAGCTGTCTGTAACTTCTGTTCCAGGTGATCTGATGCCTTCATACAGATATACCTGCAGGCAAAAACACACCAATGCTCATAAAGTAAAAATAAATAAATTATAAAAAAGAAATTAAAACTGGAAAGTCTCTAAATAGTTGTTTTCTTTTGACAGGTCCTTCATTTCTCGGGATCTTCTAGTGAAGAATCAGTGACGAAAAGAAAAAGAGTTAGTGAACCAAAGGAACATACCTAAAAATTATTTTTCTTATGCATATTTGCAATTCTCAACATTCAAGCTAAAAGATACTGTATTATTATTTGAAAGTGTTTTCTGTACCTCTGGAAATTATTTTGTGATTCACACAGTTATTACACTATCTGACCTACCCAAGGGAACTTTTAACTAAACCAAAGTACAAATGTCATCATTGATTCTGCCTTCCGTTATTCACTGAATCTGCCTTCCATTTTAAAGAAAGCTTTTTTTAAAATATTAACTTTTAAGGCCCTGCATTTCTGAAATGTTTATTCTGGTATTAAAATTTTGTAAGGATTCGCTTTTTACTTATGTTAAAGCTGTAGCATTTAATTGGTGTTATTAAAATTATGTTTTATATTTTGATATAGTGTTATTAGCATGATATATGGCATTCAATATGTATTTAGGGCAAAAAGATAACTGAAAGCAATGGCTAATAAAAAACTGGCATTTTACTAGCATGATTAAGATATACGGTGTGCAGGCTCTTTCATGGCTTCTAATTTTTATTTAAATAGCAGAAAGTGCTTAAGTTAATTTTGATAGAATTTAGGTAAGTATTATCTTGCAAGAGTTGAACACACTTAGAACTTTTGAGTGATAGCATGAACTATTGCTGTGATGAGAGACCTGGGACCTAGTCCCAGCCTTGCCGCTTATTTCTTTTGCTTCAGAAAAGGCAGACCTAAAACTTGATCAATTTGTGTCTTGTAGTTTCAGCAGTCATATTCCAAAACGTACAGTAACCACAGGATTATCAAAGTGTTCCATAGAGATGTTATGTGTGTGGTGGTAAGAATGTACCCATCCAGTTCAGTGTAAACCGGGTAACGTCCACAAACTGAGTCAGATCAGGTTTTTCTGGAGTCTAGATATCAGGTGTGTGTGTGTGTGTGTTATTTACTCTTAGCCTTATTGCTTGAATGCCAACATTTCTTACCCATTCGTGCCAATACAAAAAAAGCTACAAAAACACACCTGCTACACTGAAATTGGCCAACAGAATCCTTTCGTGATTGGCAGCATTTGTTGTCTCACGGGATACTTTGATTGGGTAATTTCATTGGGGTGGGGCGCAGCCTTTTCCTGGCCTCCGCCGAGGTTCCTTCATTGGATTGACCAGCTGTCAGGTTGAACCCAAACCTGCCTCCTTTTGGTGATGTTTGTCTGGATCGCAACACAATAGCCGGGAGGGCCTCCCCTCGTAAGCTCCGATTGGCTAGACTCAACCTTGGGGGGTTCTGATTGGCCCAATGAAGAAACACCAAGGTAGGTTGCCTAGTGATCCTGTGGAAGCTGATGTGTTATTCCCTGTCTGCATCGAAGGATCAGGAAGTTTGTGCTCTCTGCGTGGCTGAGAAGTTTTTCACCTACTAGTACTGGGCTGGGGTAAGGGAAACAGGTGCCCTTCAAAAACAGAGTGCGAACTGCAGCCTACGTCCCACTGCAGCCCCGGAACAGCGTCAGGTAAGCAACAGAAAACAACATTTCTTCACGTCCAACGGAACCGCTCAATATTTTACTTTAGAGAAAGGGGGTTTTTTACTTTATTGTTGGTCATCATGTCTTCAGATAAGGTGTTTTAACTAATAAGTGTCCACGGGAAAATGGTAAATTCCTGAAACAAAACTGCCCCTTTCCCCCTCGAGGGTGTAAAGTTTCTTGGATTGGGTTTGGAAATAACCCCGACTCAATGCCAAATAGAGTTAGTACCCTAAGGCATTTGTAGCATGTACTGTTCCTTCTTTACTTTTCTTACTTCCCACCAAAAATTATATTTGAAATGTACCCATGTACGAATTATTTGTAAGACACTTGGTGTATATTTCTATTTTTAATGTTCACATGCCTTCCTGGATATCCATTTTAATGAATATATATTTATTGAGCAGTTACAATGTTACACTGTGCTAGTTGCTATGGAGAACATAAAAACTCAAGTTGACAATATTCCAGCCCTCAATAAGTTTAACATTCAGCCGTAACAAAAGAGGGACTATAATAAATATTTAAGGGAGTAAGTATAAATAAAATTCTGTTAAAGTATAGCTGAGAGAGAAACCAGCTCTAACCATGGGGCATATGCATAATGTAGAGAGAGGAATTCACTTAAGGCCTCACAGTCTTTGGTAGGCCTTCAAAGACTGGACAACATTTAGGGAGGAAAGGAAAAGGGAGGGAACCCCAGAATAACAAAGACCAGAGGCAGAAAGAAAACAAGACATGTTTGATAAAATTGTTACAAGGTAGAACTAGATGGAGCCATAGCACCTTTTACATACTACTCTTTTGATCTCAAGAATATGTGATTGCTGATATTAAGTACTTGTTTTTAATGATAGAAATTGGCATTTAAATTTGTATAAAATGTGCTAACTTTAAGCTTTATCACAGGTGTCTTAGAGTGTAATGCTGAATAAAAAAAGGTGTATGCTCTGATTTTTTTCCTCCATTACTGGGAATTGCACTTGGACCCTTGTACATACTAACACATGTGATAACACTGAGCCACATTCCAACCCCATTTTCTTTTTGAGAATTTGATAATCTTTTAACAGTCTTACTGGGGTTTTTGTTGTTGTTACAGCTATTTGTATATTCACAAGATAGCCAGCTAGAACCAGTGTGCTAAGTTACTGTACTTGATATTTATATAAGTATTATACTCTAGTGCTTTCCAAAATAAATGCATGAAATGATTTGTTATGATAGAAAATAAGGAAATACTTGGCTGGAAAATACTGGCTCAGTGGTTAAGAGCACTTGTTCTTACAAAGGACCCAGGTTTGATTCCCAGCATCCACCATGGAGGTTTACCACTTCCTCAGGCACCAGGCATGCATGGAGTAAACAGACAAAAATGCAGGCAAAAAACTCATATACACAAAATAAAATAAATCTTTATAAAAAGAAAAAATATTAAAACATGAGCATGGAGAGATGTCTGAGTGGGTAAAGGCAATTGCTGCACAAGCCAAGCAACCTGAGTTCAATCCCCAGAACCCACGTAATGGTAGGAGAGAGGGTTCCAAAAAGTTGTCCTCTGACCCCCCACATGTGCACACAGCACAAGCACCCACAAATATTATACAAACACAATAATTTAAAAATATTAAAATGTGTTTTTGACTTGTATAATTTTTATTTGTTTCATAATGTGCTATTAACTGTTTATAGAAATTATAAATTATGTGTACTCAGGGGCACATGCTCATAAAGTTTTGCTATTCCATATTTTTTAACTTGGGGACCCATCTTAAGAAAGAGGAGTAACAGTGGTAGAAATTCACTCCTGGATTGTAGGTGAAATAAGCACACTAAAAAGATGATCATTTTGCTGGACGTTGGTGGCGCACACCTTTAACCCCAGCACTCTGGAGGCAGAGGCAGGCAGATCTCTGCGAGTCCGAGGCCAGCCTGGTCTACAGAGCCAGTTCCAGGACAGCTTCCAAAACCACAGAGAAATCCTGTCTCAAAAAACCAAAAAAAAAAAAAAAAAAAAAAAAAAAGTCATTTCTAATGAACTTTTAAACTACTGATCACTTTTCTTTACCACCTCGTTCTGTATTTGTGCTTATACATTCTCCTGTGTGTAGAGTGTCTGTGTGTGTGTGTGTGTGTGTGTGTGTGTGTGTGTGTGTGTGTGTGTGTGTAGGTCTTTTGTGGATTTATATTTACTTACTAAAACGCACACATATTTTTCACATCTCTCCATAAAACAGGTGAGAATGACCACATTAACTCACCGTACCCGTCGAACTGAAGTCAGTAAGAGCTCTGAAAAGAAAGTAGAAAGTGAGGAAGACACTAATCAAGAAAGGTGTCCAGATAATGAAGACCCTGGAGACTCTAAGGATATCCGACTCACTCTTATGGAAGAAGTATTGCTCCTGGGACTAAAAGATAAAGAGGTAATGATATTATGTTTGCAAAGACACAAATCTTAGAATGTTTTAGGAAGTAAACTCGAGCCACATTGGAGTTGGAGGAACATGGGAAAGAGAGTATATGCATGTTAAATCCAGAAATATGCCAGGTGGATGGTGGCGCATGCCTTTAGTCCCAACACTGGGGAGGCAGAGGCAGGTGGATCTCTGTGAGTTCAAGACCAGCCTGGTCCACCTAGTTCCAGGACAGCCTCCAAAGCCACAGAGAAACCCTGTCTCAAAAAACCAAAAAAAAAAAAAAAAAAAAAAGCAATCATTTTAGGTATCATTTAATTACAAAATTATGGAGGACAAAGATAGATTACCATAGTGTTAGTACTTGTAATTTCCCAGCTCACTTTGATGATAGAGTAATGACCTGTAGGAAATAGGCTCATTCAGTCAAGTCTTCTTGAACCTGGAAGAAAAGTCTTTTGTTGTCGTTTTGGTTTGGTTTTTTGAGACAGGGTTTCTCTGTGTAACCTTAGCTGTCCTGGAACTCTCTCTGTAGGCCAAGTTGGTCTCCAACTCAGAGATCTAACTACCATTGCTTCCCAAGTGCTGGGATTAAAGGTGTGCATACTATTGCCTGTCTAGAAATCTTTGTTTTTCTTTTGGTTTTTCGAGACAGGGTTTCTCTGTATTGTTTTGGAGGCTGTCCTGGAACTCGATTTGTAGACCAGGCTGGCCTCGAACTCACAGAGATCCGCCTGTCTCTGCCTCTCAAGTGCTGGGATTAAAGGCGTGTGCCACCAACGCCCGGCTGCCTGTCTAGAAATCTTAAGAGACAAGAAGAACAGCAGGTATGGTGGCACACACTTAAGAGCCCACTATCAGGATATAGGGGCAAGAGCTTCTCTGTGAGTTCAAGGCTAACCTGATCTACCTAATGAGTTACAAGCTATCTCAAAATTAAACAGGCAAATAATAACAAATAACAAGTGTGTGACTATCTGTTTACTGAAACAAATGACCAAGTTTCTTACAGTAGAAATAATATTTTTCAGCCCAGGATTGAATTCCAGCACTGGGGAGGTGGAGGCAAGTGGAACAGGAGTTCAAGGTTATCTTACCTATGTACTGAGTTTAAGACTAACCTGAAGTACTTGACAGTTTGAAACCCTGTCTCAAAAAAATTAAAGGGGAGCTGGGTGGTGGTGGCGCACGCCTTTAATCCCAGCACTCGGGAGGCAGAGGCAGGCGATCTCTGTGAGTTCGAGGCTGGGCTGGACTGATAGCCTCCAAAACAATACAGAGAAACCCTGTCTCGTTAAAAAAAAAAATTAAAGGGATCCAGGTATGGTGGTGCACACCTTTAACCCTAGCACTTGAGAGGCAGAGGCAAGCAGATCTCTAAGAATCTGGGCCAGCCTAGTGTACATAGCGAGTTCCAGGATATCCAGGGCTATGTAGAGAGTCCCTGTCCCAAAAAAAGAGGGCTGGGTGAGGGGCAAGGAACAGTGGATTTTGTTTTGTTTTTTTCATTTTCTTCTTTGGATCCTTAAAAGTAACAATTGATTAAGCGCTTTTAAAATTTTTCCATTTG